AAAAGTGGAAAAAAATACCCTCAGGTGAGGATTACCAACAAAAAACTAATTTAAAAATAAAAAAACATTTCTTCTTTAAAAAAATGAAAAATCCTTAATCCTCCAGGCACCAAAGGAGATGGTGTTAATACTCATGTACAGTGGGACTAAAACGTATGTGTCGAGTCCTCAACCACTAACAGGCTCACATCATCCTACAGAACTCAAGAGCTGTGCTAGAATCGGAGCTCCTTGCGATCAGCAATCTTGTTCAATCCCACCTCCTAGATCTAGTACAGAGCCTGGCCCAGAGTCTATGTTGATGAATGACTGAATAAATGCTCTTATCTCACCTGGATCAGTACCTAGTTGGCTGTTCTTCAGCTGTGATGACCAAAAAACCAGACGTCTGTTGAGCATATCCTTGGGTTTAGGAGCTAATGCTGTTATGTTGGCAGTTATATATAAAAGCCCAAACAGATATGCCAATGATCCTTGACTTACAGTGGGGTTACGTCCTGATAAACGCATGGGAAATTGAAAGTACGGTAAGTTGAAAATGCATTTAAATCATATAGCCTAGTGACTATCAGAGCTTAGCTTTGCCTACCTTACAGGTGCTCAGAGCACTTACAATATAGCCTGCGTAGGGCAAAATCAGCTTGCTGCTGCCCAGCATCACAAGGGAGTATCGTACCACATATTTCGAGCCCGGGGAGAAGATCAAAATTCAAAACGTGAACTATGGTTTCTACTGAGTGGGTATAAACTCCACACCAGGTGAAGTTGAAAAATCATAGGTCAAAGACTGTATTCTGAAGGTGCGGCTCTGTGAACTGACCGGGGGCCTGGGTCTGAGATGATAGTTCCAGTCCCTGCTCTGCGGGCAGCTCTCACCCTCTGCAGCTCCTGAGGTTGTAGACAACTGATGCTTTGCTGAGGAAACGTCCAGCAGGCACAGCTGCCTGGTACCTCTCGAAAACCACCTACATCTTTCCCTTCCCCCGTCTTCTACCTGAAAGCTTGTGCCCTCAGGGGAATGGGAAGAAATGCAATCTGAGGCCCAACCCTACATCTTTCCCTTCCCCCGTCTTCTACCTGAAAGCCTGTGCCCTCAGTTGGGAGAAGAAGAAAGGAAAAAGCTCTCTCCCCAAAAGGTTGTAAACTAGGAAAAAACAAAAATGGCAAAGATGATAGTTGGTCACCCTTTTCTTTTTATTTATTTTTAAAATATATTTTTATTGACTTTAGAGAGGAAGGGAGAGAGAGAGCGAGTGAGAGAGAGAGAGAGAGAGAGAGAGAAACATCAATGATGAGAGAGAATAATTGATCGGCTGTCTCCTGCACATCCCACACTGGGGATCGAGCCTACAAACCCTGGCATGTGCCCTGACTGGGAATTGAACCAGGACCTCCTGGTTCATAGGTCGACGCTCAACCACTGAGCCACGCTGACCGGATGGTCACCCTTTTCTTGAAAGGAAGCTTGGAAAGCTGGGAGAGGGGTCAAACTCTCCTGTCACCTTCCCTGGGTTGCCAGGAGGTGAGCCTGACATTAAAATTCCATGGCCCAAAGCTGCCCATGCAGACCCACACACCCTCCTGGGCACCTGGATGTCACAAAGCCTGAAGCTGGGGGTCCCCGAGAGTCCACTAATGGAGGTGGAGAGGCTATGAGTTGCGCTATCCTAGAGAGAAGAGGGGAATCCTAGATTGAGAGTGGAGTTCTGCCTGCCTACTTCCCACTGCCGGGAGCTGGGGGTCCCCGAGAGTCCACTAATGGAGGTGGAGGAGAGGCTGTGAGTTGCGCTATCCTAGATTGAGAGTAGAGTTCTGCCTGCCTACTTCCCACTGCCGGCAGCAGCCCAGGAAGCCTGTCAGATGCTCAGACTAGGCACAGTTGGCCTAAAGGGGCCAGAAGCGATCCTGGATGTTACTCAGGAGAAAAGGTGAGGCTGCGCCTCCCTCGGGACGTGGCTGGGAGAGGGAGCTCTGTCCCGGCCTCTGCGCCAGGGCTGCTTGGGGAACTGCCTGCTGAGCTTCTTTCGCTGCAGCAGATTACCTGGGCCAAGGGAAATGGAAAAAGCAGCCTACTCAAAAAGCAGCTACCGTCCCCGAAGCTAAAGAAACCCCTAGGCTCAGAATGGGTGGTTGATGGGAAACTTCCAACACCCCAAACCTCTCCTCTCGCAGCTGGTTCCCACGATCTCCCAGCTGCAGCGACAGGGCCAGTCTCACCGGAACGAAACACCCCCCAAGCCGCGTCTCCGCTCTATCTACCTCTTCATTCTACCTTGGCTGAGCGCCATCAAAGCGCCTGGGATTTTAACCCAGCGGTCATGTCTTTCGAACTTGTGGCTAGAAACCAACTAGCTCTCAATGGTAAGAACACTCCACACTCCAACCAGAGGCCACCGTCCTAGGAAGCGGCTGAAATCAAGGCGCATTAGCAACTCTCTCGGCGAATGAGACGAAGAGGCAGCTGCCCTCTTCCAGCTCCCAGTCCTGGTCAGCACAGGCCAGGAGGATGGTCACGCTCTTCCAAAGGCAGCAGAGAAACGAGCCCCTAAGAACCACAGGTTTGAAGCCCAGCAGGAAGCATGCAGGCTGTGGCGCAGAAGCCAGAGCAGTCCGTTTTGAACGTCATGACACAGTACCAAGAGGAGACAGCGCGGCATCGTGTACAGGAAAGAACCAGACATTCTGAGAACAAAAATACGTATTTTCCCAGAAATGGAGGTTCCTGTCTACACGTGTGTGAGGCTTGGTAAAATACATGAGTAAGAAACATTAACACTTATCTAACGTTCGTCAGTGAAAACGTGCTCCCAACCTTGCTCTCCAAGCCGGCTCTCCGAAGGGCAAAGGCAGCGGCCGAGGGCACACTTGGGCCGGGGCCAGCTCTGGCTTATCTTCTGTATAGGCCGGGAGGATGCACTTTCTTAAAAAAGATTTCTTAATCTAAAACCAGCTGTTGCCTGCTGTAGGCCAGGACATGACATTTTAATCAGCATTATTGTTCCGCTTCTGAAACCAGGCCCAATGGCATCCAAGGGCAGATGATCCCGACCCAGGCTCATGGGTGAGGCTTGCTGGTGAGCAGCTCAGAAATCCGCTCTCGAGGGGGTGGAGCTAGCTCTGCTGAGTTCCTGAATCATGGTCACGGCCTGTTTGCCTGTCCTGAGTTTCCCTGTGACCTGGACAACCTGTCTAGTCGCAGGAGAGAGCCTTTGAGGTTAGTTTCAAGTGCCTGGGATATAATATTCATTCTGTAATATACATCCTTTTATGCTGTGTTGTAAGACCTAACCCCATTATTTCTGAGAGTAGTGAGGTACTTTAAATGAAGGTTTAACATCCTTAGAAGGCCAGTGACTCCTACGAAGGTGATAAAATCACACTAACACAGCTCCCTGGGGCTCCCATGACCTCAGATTAAAGAGTTCCTCTTCCAAAATCGCAGGGCTAACAAGGTTTGAAAAAAAAAAGAAAAAAATGTACCCATGGGGAGGGAGCCTGGATGAGAAACCCGCCGCTGAGGCAGTGCATTCGGTGATGAGAAAAAGGGCAGACACTTGGAGGAGTGGGACGAGAGCCGGACACAGGCAGATGGACCAGACGTGACGTTAGCACGGTTCTCGCCTTTAGCAGGGACGTGGTGTGAGGCTCTCCCCCTCTACCTGCCCCGAACTTGAAGGTACTCACTGTCTGTGTCAGCTCCTAGCATCTGGGTGACAAGACATCACTTTCTCTTGGTTTTTGTCATGCCATCCCCAGTATTAGGAATATGAGACCAAAATGCCGTCCGTGCACCCTACTGACTGGTATGTAATGAATCAAAAGTATGCATTAAGCAAGCCCTAGCCGCAGCCTCTGCCTCTGCTCTCATCCCTCCCACCTGTGAGAGTCCACGACTCTTTCACTCCTTCACATACAAGACGAAGCTCTCTCGACTTCCACTTCCAATTTTACTTCTCCTGAAATTTCTCCCATCTCTCTAAAGTCTGTCTGAACACTCGTGAAGGGACTCGTGAAAACAACCAGGTTACACGACAGCGTAATCACCACTCACCTCTGTGTCACTCAACAGAACAGTGGGATGTATTAGTGACTTCGACTGGCACACAACTAGGCTTCAGTAATTATATCCATATTCCAGGCAAATTGTTATATATTTTGTGTTCTGGGGACATATGTTATGGCTAAAGCCCAAACTGTGGCTAATCTTAATATTAGAGCCAGATAAATCTGTTTCGAATCCATAACATCTAACATTTGCCAGAGTAGATTTGTTCATCAACTGGGCTTAAAGAGGTATAATTCACACATGTGCAGTATTACTAAATGCTGAAATTTAATGATTTAAATATACCAGCAACCATTGCAAAGCAGTTGTTACAGCAGCATTTAACATTAGCCAGAACCTCCCTGGCTAATGTTACATTTATACCAAGAGAATGAGGGAAGTTTGGCATCCCCTAGGGGTGGGGTCACAACTCCCTCAACTTTCACAGTATGGTACTTGCTAGAGCAACTCAGTGCACGGCTAGTAGAGGCCCCTGTTTTTCCCTGAGAAAACCTACGAAAGACTGATTGGACCTAATAAGGGAAAAACAAAACCAAACCTTTGGAGGTTTGGGAGACATCTTCTCTTACAGTGTTTAGCTTGGGGATCTTACTCCGCTTGGTACACATGGCACCACGTATTTCTCCTGGCTGTGTCTTCCCAGACATGGACGTAGACCGGAGTTAGGAGAAGATGCAGTTAAACACAAAAGAAGAAAGATGGTCCTCAGACCACCGATAATCAATGCGTTAGACAGAGTAGAAAAAGGAATAAAAATTATTTTAATCACATTAAAAAGCCAAATCAAACAGGAATAGTTATGGTGCTTATAAGATCCCCGCTCGGCAGCTGATGCTCTTCTGTTCGTGAGTCCAGCACCCCAGGGCCAGGCACACAGGGTGGGGCAAGAGTAGGTCTGCAGTTGTGAGTATATGAAACAGTTTATTCTTGTACTTTATTAATTATTGTATTATTTTCCATTTGAACAACTGTAAACCAACTTTTGCCCACCCTGTATATCAAATCCCATTACAATGTCTGGATTTTGCACCGAATTCCGGGCTTGGGGCTTTTCCTCCAAAAAACTCACTGATCTGAAGTGACTGAAAGTGAGATAGGGTATCTTTTCCACGATTCCGAGAATCTAAAGTGGGCTGGTAGGCTCTCTCCTCAGCAGTCTTCAGTCAGCGAAGTTCCTTTCGGGTGGTTCTGTAGGAACTGGAGACCAAGGAGCCTGAGCTGGACCTGAACTTGGAGTGCCACCAAGGCTTCTGTTCCGCATCTTCAAAGAAAAGCCACTGGAAACCATGGAAACAGGAACAGAGGGTGCCCCTCAATGCTCAGGCATCCTCCTGAGCTTCCCGTTCTTGAGGAAGCGGGTCAGTATGTCAATCTTCCACTCTGACATCCCCCCTGCTATCAGAAATGCTGGGGGGCGTGTTCTCTCCCTTGGTCCAAGCTTAGTGTTCAGCCCCCCGCCTGTGGCGGGTTTATAAGCTGCCGATGTTGGGGAAGCTCTTCAGTTTCTCAGGAAAGTCGTCTTTGTACAGGACAGGGTCGGCTCGGTGCTCCACCACCTTGAGAGGCATCGTCCCAAAGACAGAAGCAAACTTGTTGATGCACTCAGACCTGTGGGGTTCAGGCAGCAGGAGGGCAGGTGAGCAGATGAGAGGGATGGGGGTTGGGGAAAAAGAGAAAATATTCAAGAGGCTGAGAGACGATAGCAAAATACATAATATTCAACATCAACAGAAGAAATCCAAGGAGGCCCAGCCTGCTCCCAGGTTCGAAAGAGGTTGGAGGGGTGTGGATACAGTGATGTGGCTGTGCTCTGACTATCAGCTCCGAAGAGAAAGTGAGCAGGGAATGCTGTCTGGAGGGCCTGCAGAGGTCAGACTATCTCTTCCCCTCCCCCTACATTCCAGTCATTCTTCCAGATCAGCACCAGCAGGCCTCAAACCAAGGTGGATTAGCTGCCAGCAATCTTAACCCCGTCTCTGCCAGCTAAAGAGAAGGCAACCAGTGGAGAGGAAAAAGCCACTCGGATCTGAGCTCACTGAAGTTTAACAGGCAGAGAGGAGCAACAGAAGGCAAAAGAAGCTAATGGGAACGGTGAACCTCAATTTCAAACAATAAACACTTTACTCATTCAACCAACACTGGCTGAAGGCTCTAAGTGGCAATCTCTGGGAATTACCAGTCAACTTCCACAAGCTGAAGTTCCCACAGAACAGCTTCCATGATGGGAGCCACAGCCATGTGAGAACCAGCGGCCCACAGCCCCCTGGGTGACAGGACAGCCCAGCCCTGGAGGAGGGGAGTCAATTTCCTCATCACCCCCACCCCCCAGCCTGGCGAGCAACCTCCTAGGAGGTGAGTGGGTCAGGCAGGCTGGCGGGGGAAAAGGTTCTGGCCCATCAGGCCAACTGAGTGTGACAGCTGGCAATGAGGACACTTCAGCCTCAGACCAGGGGGAATAACAAGCCTGTAAAAACCGCTTTTGAAGTTGAGGGGAGCTCCAAGATGGATTTCAGAAAGGTCAACATGCTCTCTCCTCAGTTAGGCCCCTGGCACCTGGGAGCTACAACAAGAACAAACTAATCAGAGGCAGGACCATTACAAGAATGGGCTAAATTTCAGGACACAGACTAGAAGTCTCTTCTGTCCTCAGAGGTACTGTCAGATTTATTTCTAAGTATTTTAATCTACAAGTTTTTATTGGAGCACTCTGAGTTTTAGGAAGAAATCAATTAATAAAGAAGCCCGTCGTTATCAATTCTTTTCACTTGGTCATTGTTTCTAGAAAAATGTGTTACTACTACATTTGAGCTCTTCTAACTAATAACATCACCGTGTCCACCAGCACCACAAATCAACAACCAATATTTACTGTGTTAAGAGTGCTTTCAGCCCTAACCGGTTTGGCTCAGTGGTAGAGCATCGGCCTGCGGACTGAAAAGTCCCAGGTTCGATTCTGGTCAGGGGCATGTGCCTTGGTTGCCGGCACATCCCCAGTGGGAGGTGTGCAGGAGGCAGCTGATCGATGCTTCTAACTCTCTATCCCTCTCCCTTCCTCTCTGTAAAATATCAATAAAATATTTAAAAAAAAAAAAGAGTGCTTTCATATAGCCCAGCTGGCATGGCTCAGTGGTTGAGCATCAACCTATGAACCAGGAGGTCACAGTTCAATTCCCGGTCAGGGCACATGCCCAGGTTGTAGGGGGCATGCAGGAGGCAGCCAATCAATGATTCTCTCTCATCAATGATGTTTCTTTTTTTTTTTTAAAAAGTGCTTTCATGTAGTAGTAACCCATTTCATCCTCACAACAACCCTATACGGCAGGTCCTAATTTATCCCCAATTTCACATTGGGAAGGTTGGGACACAGAGAAGCTCAGTAACACGTCCAAACATCAAGTAACTAGTAAGAGGCAGGGCCAAAACCAGGCATTCTGGCTCCTAAAGCTAAAGTCTTAATGATGAAATGACACAAATTTATTTATTAACACAATTCTAGGGTCCAAGGGGAGGAGCTGGGAATGAATAACTGTTAAGCACCTATTACATGCCAAGTAATTTACATCCACACTCTTACCGCTTCCTTAAAGTATTCCCCTTCTATGCACCCAAGAGCAGGGCTTTCATAACTGCATGATGCAGGTGAGACATTAGGACACAGAGCTTAAATAACTTGGCCACGGACCAAGAGCTGGAGTGGTGGGTGGGTTTCAAACCAGGCTTGCACTGGCAACAGAGCCTTCACTCTTCACCATCCTCAAACACAACTCGCAAGGAACGGAACTTCCCTTTTGCTGGCAGTCTTTTAAGACTCAGGAGGCAGTCATAGGTTCCAAATTGAGGAGAAATTGGGCAAAAAGACTGAGCATTTTCAACAAAATGGTATGAAGCGAGCACTGGACAACAGCTTCCATCTCCTCAAATAACGGGGTCAAGGCAATGGCAAAGTCAATCTCTGCAAGGCCTTACTTGTGACAGTTCTGCCTGTAATTATGTACCGACTCTGCGGTTTCAGTTATTAGGCCTGTAGATTCTGGCTAGCAAAGCCCAGCGGTGCCATGATAGGTACCAGCGAGCATGTACTAAAGAAGAACCATGGCTCTTGGCAGAGCAGAGAGGCTCCACGACCCCCTGGGGAGCACTGAGGACAATGTCTCCTTTGTAACTAGATCTGCCAACAGGGCCCAGCCACTGGCAAGAGGCTACTGGGGCTCCGGCCAGCCTGACTTGCTGACAGCTGCCCCTGGCTAACTCAGGCTCCGTGTGTACTTCTTTCTCTCCACACAGCCTGCACTGGAGAAGTGGCAGGCCACTCTGAATGGTAAAGGTCCTGAACTCTCCCGCCAGGAACTGACAACGCTTCCTCCTTTCTTTTCAGGGCATCTGGTTTGGGGAACAGGTTAGGGTGAACAGAAACTTGGCTTACTGCTGGTCGCCCCTCTGAGTTGTTCTGTCAGGTGTCCAGCTACCCCATCAGTAAGTGTTCCCTGGGTCGGTTTTCTAATTGGGTATAAACAGGCTAAGAACTGCCAATGTCTACCTCTAAAGTCTGGGAGCATCTGGTGGGTGGAGAGAGGGATAAAGGACTAATGGTGTTCTTTTTTCCTTTCAAACACATACAATTACCTAAACAACCAGGAGCCTTTAGGACTAAATGCTGGGGAAATTGGGTAGGAAACGAATTCTGCCCGGCACTGTGCCACAAGCTTCTTGTCTTATTATTTTATTTACCAGCATGTAATATGGTGTTTGGTACAAAGATGGTCAATAAATATTTGTTGAACCAATGAACGGACACTGTAATTTGATAGATATTAATACCCCATTATTTGATAGATATTAATATCCATTTTAGGAGGTGAAAGATGGAAGTTCAGATGAGGTAAGTCATTTTCCTTAAATCAGACAGCTAACAAGTGGCAAACTAATAATCTGAACAAAGATTGGCCTGAATCAAAATACTACGTTCTTTTCCTTCAATCAACACTGTCTGTCTGCCATACTGCCTTGACCTCTTTAAAGTGATTGGTCAAAATGAGCAGCTTAAAGAAGTAATAGCAGATCCTGGAAGAAATGGATGCTGGGTAGTGCAACTGAGATTTCTGATTCTACAACCCAAAGATAGAATAAATAAGCTCATTGAACCGCAAAACCCAACACAAGGTTCATAACTTGCAAAGTGGTTAATCCCTTTCACTATTGTGTGCAAAATGTGATTCTGCAAAGGGAACGATTACAAAAAATAAAACACCGATTAATACTCTACAGTACACCTCTTGGTTTACACAAGAGGCTTAAATCATGTCTTCTTCCCTCAATATCTAAGGACCTTATTTAATAATCTGGTGATCCAGTCTTTAATCCAAATACTTTTATTCCCAGTTTCTAACTGATTTCAAGACTGATTCCCTATCAAATTTCTCTATCAAGATTCACTAACCCTACTTCCTCATCACAGGCGCACCCCCTAGGCCCTGGGGCCCCACCTCTCTACGGCATTATTTTTTTCAAAGTCACCAATGACCATTAATTTCAAAGGCCTTTTCACGGTCTGCATGGTCCCTGCTCCTCCCCTGCTTCTGAGCTCTGCAGGTCCCCGTTCTCTCCTGGCCTCTCCAGTGGTCACTTCTCTGCTTTTGGTTATTCTTTCTTTCTCCTAAATGTCAGAATTTCTCAAGATTCTGCCCTTGGCCTTTCTTCAGTCAGCTGCCACCTCTGGGCAGATACCTTCAAATAGCTTTGTTTTAATCTTCTTTCTAGAGTTCTAGTTCCACATTTCCAACTGCCTGCCCCATATCTACACCTGCACACAGAGAGGACAAAAAGCCCCAAATCACATACCTTACTGCTCTCCAACTCCTCATTGATGATACAGTTAAAGGTACGACTGTTCACCCCATCCTCTCTGCTAATTAATGTCTCCTCCTAACTGTATTAGTTACACTGTTAAGGTACTACCACTCTTCCGGACTGGAAATCTAGAAGTTATCTTTCTCAACTCCTTCTCCATAACCTTCTCACACCTATCCAGCTAGAAATAAGTTCTAGTATATCTTCCTTTGGGGGAGGGGTGAATCTCTTGCAATTTAATTCCTTCTTTGCTTTCCACACTCAATTTAGTTCAAGCCTTCTAACTGCTCTTTCTTCAATCTCTTTACTTCATTCCATCCTATGTACTACTTCCAAATTAATCTCAAAACAATACTTAGATAAAGCTACTCCCCTGTTGCATGTAAAGAACAGACTGGGAATATAGAAGAAAAAAAAGCTACCCCTTGTTCAAAAACCTTCTATGGCTTACCAGAGCCTGGAGAAAAATGTCCAGGCTCCTTAATTGGGGATTCAAGGCAGTTTGGAACTAACAGGCCAGAACTCGATGCTCTAGCCAAAGTGAACTTCTTCCCCCTAGGTTAACTCCTAATTTTATTTCTTCTACAATTTGATTCAGGATCCAAATGAGTTCCACATGTTGCAATTGGCTGATTTAGTCTGTAGGTTACCCCTCCTCTTATTTTCCTCCAGCTATTCATTTGTTGAAGAAACGGAGTTGTTCATCCTGTCCCCACATGTGGACTTCGCTGACTGCATCCCATGGTGTCCTTTGATATGTT